GGGGGGGGGGGGGGGGGGGGGGGGGGGGGGGGGGGGGGGGAAGGTTTAAGAGCAAGAATGATAAGGAAGAAGGGCAGCTTCCCACCTCCATTCTGTGTCAGGAGGATGGAACAAGGAGGAATGGGGCTGGGCATGTCAGCCTACCAGACGCCTGACTCTGTTCCTGGGTATGCTGTACAGTGCAGGCCTCATCTTATACCATCCTCCAGACAGCCTTACAGAGACACAAGCAGTGTGTAAACCCCAGACCAACTGCAGCCTGAGCTCCTTCCATTGACCTGTGCTGAAGGGACTTAAGGGGAAGCCCTTCCCACCTCCAAGTCCCTATCTGTCCCTGTCCCCTTCAGCGTCTGCATCCATGTCCTAGCAGCCCCAGAGACACCTGGAAGGCAGGCAGGTGCCAGCTTCAGAAGCCTTTAGAACCGGTACCAGCAGAGGGTTGCTCAGGGCACAGTGGCTGCTGAGGGGCTATAGCCCGCAGGGGCAGCCAGCCAGCAGCAGACAATCCTAAGTCCTGCCGGGCTGCTGCTTCTGTAAGCTGGGGATGCGTTAAGTTCTGCCTCTTCCTGGCCACCCTCACGTGGCTCCCAAGTGCTTCCTGGCCTCAAAAAGAATTCACTGGCACAGAGTCAGCAGAGGCAATTCAATTATGAAATTTACCACATTAAATGAAAACCAGCATCTCAATCGGCCAATTCATTTGTGGCCCACCACTATTCTGTTGGTGCCAACTCTGCAGGGATGTGTGTGTGTGTGTGTGTGTGTATACACCCCTGCCCAGGGCATACTTGCACTGCCAGCAAGCGAGAAAAGGACCCAGGACAAGAGCAATGAGCTGGTCAGCAGCGTGATTCTTCCCAGGAGTCCCTCAAAAGCCAGGTCCTCAAATGGACCTGGACGGCTGCCCATACTGTCACACCATCACAGCCAAGAATGAATCTTCTGGTCACCTCCCATCTGCCTTTTCCCTGGTGTCACCTGTGCCAAAAGCAGGCATCCTAGCTGGCTCTGGAAGAGTGTGGATGAACGGCAAGAACAATGGCTTCAGCCCAGGGTATGGAATCCAGGTTGTGGTAAACCTCTGCTATCTTTTCTCTCTTCCGGAAGCCTTCACGCTTTGCCCAGCTCCCTGTTGCCTTGTTCACTGGGGCTCTCTGCAAGCCTCCACCCCATGGGCCAGCAACCCCTTCTCTCTAAAAGCAGGGTCTGCATCAAGTCTGCTCGGATAACAAATCAGATAAATGAACTGCCTGTACATACCAAGTTCACTGCTCCGGGCCATCCCCCTCCCTGTAGGTGATAGGAGGAAGGAGGTTGCTCTCACCGCACACCACACACAGAGCCATGACTCCTTTTCCTTCCTACTCTTCTCTCGCCACACTGGTGCCCAGAGGCTAAAGAGGCCACCAACAGGAATCCAGCCACTGTATAACATGCAACTTGCACACATCTCTTTCCCTGCATGGCACAGGGAACCCAGCTGCAGCCTGAGGCACAGGACAAAGGTTTCTTCCATCCTCCTACTTCCTTTAAACAGTCTCCCTGGGCTCACTTGCTGATAAATGACTCAAAACTGAACTATCAGTAGTTACAGGGCCTGGGACAAAACTGACTTTGCCAATCTCCATAGAAAGCCTGTGAACTCAAGAGCCCCTGTCTTAGAGGGGCCAAACCTACTGTAGGGTAAGAGCACCCTGGGTCCTCCCTCCTCTGTCCCCAGACACAGGCCTCTGGCAACACCCGTTTAAAATCCTCACAGCAAAACTGTGTCACCCATGAAAGAAGAGACCCAGCATACTAGAGGGTCAGGTCCCAAGACCCCACCCCTCCCTGTCGTACTCCAGTCTAGGGTGAAAGCAGATGGCCCTGCCTCAGCAGGGAGGAAGGACTAATGCCTAGTGAGCCTTGGCCAATTGGCCTCAGCACTCCTCAAGTACAGATGAACCTAAAAGGCCTGGGTAGTCGGCCCCTCCCCCAACCTCCTGTGCCCCAAGCTTGGGACTGACATGGTGGCACTTGCTTTGTAAGCCCCACCAGAGGATTTCAAGTTCAAGGCTGGCCTGACTACATAGCAGGGCAGAAAAAAAATTTTTTTTTAGACTGTGTGAATGCACTTGGTGTCTTTGAAGCGGTTATACCCCCAAAGTGTCTGCTGCCCCGGGAGGCACGATTCCCCAGTAGGAAAAAGAATCTTTTCCTACAACTACGAAGGAGACCAGTCAAATGGGAGCTTGCTGACCGCGGCGGGAGCTCTCGCGCCAGGGCAACGCATGGAAAGAGGGTTGAGCAAGGGAAGTTGGGGGGTGGGGGGACGGAATATGAGGAGGATCTGTTGGCCACCACCTATGTGGGTAGGTGGGTGTGACACCAGGAGTGTTACCTCCTCTCCCATGTCAGACAACTTCCCAGACGGGAAGGACCCTACGGGGCGGGCCATACGACCAGGCCGTGCTGTCTACCCTTGTCTTGTTTAACCCCTCGGCCCTCCCTAGGCACAAGACCGGAGCACGGACCTTGGCTGGGTGCGGGCGCAGAGCTGCGCGGTTCGCATCCTCGAGGACAGGCGGCTTCCTCTTTCTAGGATCAATAGTAATTAAAAAAAAAAAAAGAGAGAGAGAGAGAGAAAGACTGAACGGACTCAATGAATCAAACACTCCCGGGGGAGGGTAGCAGCGCCCGCGCGTAACATCCGTTTGCAAAACAATTCATTCCCTTGGCGGGAGCTCTGTGCAGAACAATCCAGGGACCCCAAGCTCGACCGAGGGGTGCCCTCCGGGTCAGCACCCGCTTCCCCGCCGCCGCGAGCCGGGCCCCGCGGTCCTACGCCCCGCCGGGCTTTCCTCGCGCTGGGTCGCGGTCCCGGTGACAAGTCCCGACGACCCCTGTCGGCCCGGGGCGGACTTGGTACTCACCGTGGGCACCCACGCGCTCCGCAGTCCCCGCAGCTGCTGCCGCCCCGGGTCGGCTCACCGAGTCGCGGCCGAGATCCCGCAGCCGAACCGCACCGGCGTCGCCAACAAACTAGTTTCTCCGGCCTTCCCGCCCCGCCTCGCGGCCCGAAACGCAGCGACCAATCACGGGCCGCGTCTCTGTGACGGATGGGCCGGCTAGCCCGTAGGATAGCCGCGTGAGGAGAAAGAGGCGGTCGTCCCGGCCACCGGTACCGCGGGAGGCGGGGCGGAGAGAGGAAAGCGACAGCCACCAGATTTTTAAAGGCGCAGGACGCCCGCCCTGGTGGCCAGAGTTGGAGAAAGAAAAGCGACCTGTTCTAGAGCTTTCCTAAGGAAGAAGCTTTGTGGCTTACACACATACCTCTTTCCGTTACCGAATCACAGCCACTGCTGATCTTTCAACAGAACTGCAATCTAACCGTCCCTATGTCAAGGAAATCCTTTTTAACTCCCGGCTAGTTTCAGTGTTGGGGGATTTCTACAGACACGAATCCCTGTCTAGACTTAGAATATGTATTTCAGGGGAGTGGCCGTATTTAAGCTCTTCCGTCAGGCTGGCGGTTATTTCTTACTAAACTTTTTTAAAATGCCGCTCAAATATACTTCACTGTATTAGTCAGAATTCTCCAGAGGAACCAAACTGATAAAATAAATCTGTATCTACATATATATACATACATACAAGGAATTTATTAGAGTGACTTAAAGGCTGTGGTTCCCCTGTAGTCCAACAATGGCTGTCTCCAGACAGAAAGTCCAAGAACCCAATTGTTCAGTCCACCAGGCTGGATGCCTCAGCTGATGCCAGCATATCTTAGAATCCAGAAGAAGTTGACTATAATATTGTAAACGAATGAACCTGCCAGTGATACTTAGGTGCAAGCAGGCAAAAAGCAAAATCCTCCTCCTTCCGGGTCTTTTATTATATAGTCTGCCCCTAGAGAGGGTAGCCCAGACTTAAGGTAGATCTCCCTAACTCAAATGATCCAACTAAGAAAAATGCCTCACAGGTGTGCCCAACTGCTTGGGTTTTAGTTATTCCAGATATGATCACGTTGACAACCCAGAATAGATATCATCACAATTTTGTATTGCATCCATTAGTTCATTTTAAGAAAAATTATGCCAGGCACATGGAGGTCCATGCCTTTAATCCCAGCACTCGGGGAGGCAGAGGCAGGCAGATCTCTGTGAGTTGGAGACCAGCCTGGTTTACAAAGTGAGTCCAGGACAGCCAGGGCTACACAGAGGAAAAAAAAAATAGGCGTTGGGTGATTACTAGATTTCTTTACCCTATGACAGAGAGAGAGAGAGGGAGAAAGAGAGGAAGGAGTGCACAGGAGATGTAATTCTGAGACCTTGTAATCTAGGTCTGTTATTTATTTGACCACATCAGCTTTATTAATGTCTGGTCTCCTTGTCTGCAGAGCAGCAGTGTTAATTCCTGGATTACATACAGGATTAAAGGACCAAATAAGCAAATATTCAGACATCTCACTTAAGGACACAAGAGCCCCTGTTAAGAAAGTGATGAACTAGCAGCACATACCTTTAGTCCCAGAATGCAGAGGCAGACAGAGCTCAGAGTTCATGGCTAGCCTGGTTTACATAGTTCCAAGATAGCTAGGGTCACATTGTGAGACTCTGTCTTAAAAACAACAAAAGTTGTGGCATGGTGGCACAGGCCTTTAATCCCAGAATTTAGGAGGCAGAGGAAAGTGGATCTTTGAGTTCCAGGTCAGCCTCAAAGTCTACAAAGTGAGTGCCAGGTCAGCCAAGGCTGCACAGAGAAACCATGTCTAAGGAAACAGAAACAGAACAAAACAAACAAGCAACAACAACAACAACAAAAAAGTGATAAGCACCACAGAGGCACAGAAGGGATGGGGAGAATTCCTGGCAACAGGGGAGGGTACAAAAAATTTGGAAGACAACAGCATGGTGGATGATGGAAAGTGGGAAATAGATTCCCTTAAGCAGAAAGCTGCTTTGCCTGGCAGCAAAAGATCTTTGCTACATAAACAGTGTATAGCATACATGGGGAGATGCAGGGGTGAGGGAGGGGCTTTCAGGCAACTCGAAGCAGCTGCAAGCAGCTGGAAGTCCAGGTATGAATCTAACTCTGCCCCTCAAGATCTCTGAGTGACTGCAGGGAAGTTGATCTGATTTTGAGTTCCTGGTTCTTACAGGCAGAGGGAATATCATTAAGCATTTCCCACAGGATTATAGTAAAGATCAAGGGCTTGGCAGCCAGTAAATGCTCAATAGCGTGTCTCCATTTGGCCCAGATCTGGAGACGTTTAAGACAGAAGAGTTTAAGAGGAGCCTGGGCCAGAGGACTAATGTGCTGTTAAGGAACTTTCCAAAGGGAAAAGACAGCATCAAATAATAGTTTCATGAAATGCAATGACAGTCTGCATTCACAGTTTTCGGGCTCTGCCCATATCCTGAAGCTGCAACATTTGTGTAATTGTTGGTTGGATGAAGCTTCCAGTGCAAAATTGATTGCCTATGGTTCCTTAAAGGCTCTCTGCGAACTCATACATGCCAGCCATCTAAATTCTGGCCCACATTATCACTGTTTCCCTCTTCAACTCTGAGTCCTAAATTAGGTAGCTGCACACATTAAAATCAAATATAGCCAATGAGAGGAAATCAGAGCGGGAACACATGTTGAGTTATTGAGTTTAGATAAGAGCAGAGAGGAAGCAGGGAAAGAAGAAATAAGCCGGCTTCACCATCTGCTTCAGTCCTAGCGCAGACCCTGTAGCATCTCACTGTCAAAACCCTGACCGGCCTGACCAGCCAAGCTCACAGGGAGTTCTGGGGTGCAGGGCCCACCTCAGTTACCACAGAAATCTCAGTGTTATACATAGCTGGTGTCTCCTTTAGGGTTCTATTGTTGTGAAGAGACACCAGCAACTTTCGTAAAGAAAAACATTTGGATGGGGCTGGTTTTTACTTTCAAAGGTTTTGTCCGCTTTGTTACGGCAAAAAACATGGTGGTATGCAGGCAGACATGGTGCTAGAAAAGGATCTGAGACTTCTCCATCTTGACCCGCAGACAGCAGAAGGAGACTGTGCACCACAATGGGCAGAGCTTGAGCAAAGGAAAGGCCAGGCCTTTCAAAGCCAGGCCTCACATTGCTACACTTCCTCCAACAAGGCCATACCTATCCCAACCGTTAGAAACAAGCAAAAGCAGCTTGTTTTTAAAGACTGCAGTTCTCAGACTCCATTTAATCTGTCTCCCAAGTGGTGGGATTAATAGTCAGGGACATACCCAGCTTTCTCTCTCTCTCTCTCTCTCTCTCTCTCTCTCTCTTCCTCACCCTCTCCCTCTCCCTCTTTCTCTCTCTCTTCTCTTTCTCTCTCTCTTTCTCTTTTTTCTCTGATGTGGGGTTTTACCATATCAAATAGTTTTCTCTTTAATTTGATAGGCTCAACTGATCCTACCTGAGCCTCCCTGGTAGTGGGGACTGTCAGCATACACCAGAAAACCTAGCCCTCCTACTCATTTGTTCATTTGCTCTTCCTCCCTCCCTTTCTCCTTTTCCTGCCCCGCTCCCTTCTTTCCTCCCAGAAACACTGAGAATTAAACCCAGTATTGATTGCTCTTGCTAGGAGCACACTCTACCCCTGAGCTACTCTGTCAGCCCCTCCCACCCATTTCTTTCAACTTGTCTATAAGTCTCAGGAAGGTATGTGTTTCTTGCGAAGAACGCACAGATGGTTCTTGCTTTGTTTTCCTTCATCCTGCCAACCATCCTCTGCCTTTTAACCGGAGTGCTGCGGTCTTTGAAGACTGTGTCTTATCTTTTCATTGCTTGTTACCAACATAATCCCCACTCCTTTGTTCTCTTATCATTTTGAGCTACAGGTTAGGTGTCCAAGATACGGCCTGACCATCAAGGCCCAGAGTAAAGGATCTTGAAACCAGATGGCCTGGCAAAGGCCTAATCTCCAGCGTTTATTCCCTTCCTGGGGCTTTCGGGTTCAAGTTAGGGCAAAACCACACTCAACTTTTTGTGTCAAAATATGACTAAACAATGCTATAGCCCACCCTGCTCCCCCTCACTTTCTGGTTTCATCCTTTAAATATGCTGTACAACATCCTTTCAAGGTCACAGTTGAGCTCCTGGGTCTGCTCTGCCACCCTGATCGATCATTAGCAGCTAGATTACAATAAATTTTTGTCATCTGCCTTGACCTGGTGTTTCAGTTATGTTGGATATAATTGGAGGCCATAGCACCATTGGTCACACCCCCTAACAGTGCCACTCCCTATGGGCCAAGCAGCACCCACCGCCCATTAGCTCAGGAAGGCTGGACTCCACATCTGCTGTCTGCCCCCCCCACCCCATTCCTCCATCAATACTCCCAGCTTTCTGCACAGACCCATCGCCATTCAGGGTGGGTCCTGCCCCAACTCAGTGCCAAACACTCTAGAAATTCAATCACAGACATACACAGGGCTCTCTGTTACTATCCCCCTGACATCTCGCAAACCAATCAAGCTGACAACCAGGATTAATCAGCACAGGATGAAACACTGCAACTACCTTTTCGTGCCCCGTACTGCTTTCTCACCCAAACCAACTAAAACTGGAGAAAATAAACAGCAGAGAGGAAAGATGTACGGTATCTTCACGGACTTAAGCACAGAAGCCCTCTACAAGTCACTGGCAGAGTTCAGTAATAGATACCCACAACTACGCTGGATTACTTCAAGGTGTACAAGGCTTGTTTGCTAGCCAAAGCCAGTCGACATACTCTGCCATACCACAAGCTTTCAAAAGCTCCTGACAAAATCCAGCCCCTGTTTGTGGCCAAAGCTCTCAGCTACTTACATGAATTTTACCTGCTCGG